AGGGGGTTGTGAGTCAAGCCGTGAGCAGCATAAGCGTTGTAGTGATTGGCGGTTGTGACGGTGCCACTGGTACGCTTGTTCTGGCGAATTGACCAGTTCTGGATGTAGTTGTTCCCGCGATCCACGGTGCAGATCTCGTAGCTGCTGCCATCGCTCGTGATGGTCGCAACCTTCTTACCCTGGCTGCAAGGGTTGTAGTTGCCATAATCCTCAAGAATCTAGAACCGTGAGCCAAGGGCTCAGGACGGAATAATAATGGAGCGCAAACGACTCACGTAGTTCTCACCCTTGGTCGACCAGGTGTAGATGGAAAAGTAGAAGTTGCCCTGTCCATTCACTTTACCGTCGAAAGTGATGTTCCTGGGCGTGGCAGTCTGCCAGCCCTTGCCAGATGTCATGTCGGAGATCTTTGTCCATGTGACCGAGTATGAGCCGGCGTCTTTGTTCGTGTAGGTGGAAGTGCCGCCTCCTCCATCAGTCCCTGAGTATCTTGTCAGTCCAACCCTGCCGGTGATGAGGAGAAATCTGCGTACAGAACTGATAGTAGAAGCCATTGTTCATGCCCTTGCTGTTAGGAGTACTGCGCTTGGAGATGGTAATGTCGGTGGGAGCCTCGGCCGGAGCAGCGATGACTCCTACAGCAGCCGTAAAAGCAACGAGACAAGCAGTGAAGGAGACCATGGTGAGTAGAGTATGAACGTTCTACAACGAAGAAGATGCTCTCACTTACCTCGATCCACTACTCTTTATATACAAGGCGCATTCATTTTGAGTCGCCGGGGCTGTCCCATACTCGGTAGCAGCTAGGTCGATACGTTCCACCAAACAATTACCAGAACTCGATGCCGGGAAACGCTTATGGGTATTGTTGTCAATCTCGAACTGCCCGATGTCAACACTCGTAAACGAGCGGGATAAGGAAGTTGTGATTGGCTCGTGAGCCCTAATTTCGGTTGGCGCCTTGCAAATGGTGTCTTGTGCCTTCCTCGATCGTGACTATTCTCGCTTAGTCCACTCACAGATCAAGATTCTCACAATAGATCCATATTGCTTAGCCAACCCATTAAGCTTTTCGGAAGAAATATATATTGCTTGTCCAAGGGTTAAGCTTTTCTCAGTAGATGAAATGGCGTCCTTTAATTTTCCGTTCGGTGGCGTTCCCGACCAGCATCTCCCCGGTGGCACTTTCATAGCATTGATAGGTGGACGCGAAACAATGCTGGAAGCGAATAGATAGCCGAGTCCCGCCCTGCTCTTTATTTGCTGTTGAAAGCGAAGTCCTGCAACAATTAATCTTGTTGCGGGGAACCTCATAGTATAGATCGTTTATCTTAAGGCATGACACCGCTCGTGCTGATTCAGGCGCGGGTGTATCATGGTTTGAACTTGCAGCCAACCTCGTTGAAGCAACAGCGCAAACATCAGCCGGTGGTTACAACAGCATTGTTTGACTGGCGCGCGATGAGCAGGACGCTCAAATTAGCGACCGTCAATGAGTCCAATGCAGTCTCATCCAAGCGTAGTCGAGTAAAACATTACTTCGCACCGTTACGTGCTCTTTACTATCGACGGACGGCACTTCGCATCTTGAAAGCAGCCCGATATTATAGCTAATCGCGTTTGGCATGTGTTATTTCTCCGAACAGCGGCGGGATATGCATGTTGTGTTTCATGATGCCAAGTGTCATTCTATGATCTGGCTTGTGGCGGAGGTGGCTGGCGCAACGATCACGTCAGCCGGCGCGTCTGCTTCGGGATCGACGGCAGGCTCAACACAACACTCCCTATGCTGCCGTCACTCGCTTTCCCAGGCCTAGGTAGCGCTGCAGCCCTACTATCATTGCATGAACTATAGATCTTTGCCGCGCCCTTACGAGTAGGCAGATTGCTCCTTGCGCATACGATTCGCGAAACGGCTGGCTCGTATCCTTGAGAGCGCTTCCCATACAACAATCGGTTCGCACCTGCAGCTGTTACATCTCGTCGGTCCCAAAAGTGCCGACCACCGTCCTTCTTGTGCATTTCTGTTTCACTCGAGACAAAGTAGCCTCTTTTGACGTACTGCACAATCCCAGGATGGCATCCTTGTATGTTCCACCTGAATACAACATAGAAACTCAGCACAATGGCACTGATCATCTTGCCATTAATAACACGTTTGTTCGTCGTTTTTTAACACGACTGGCATTACATACAACGGCAAAGTTTTACTCCCAAGATGGTCTTTGTATCCCGATTTCGAAACACAAAATTGTCAAAACAGGGCGTCGGATCCACCTAACGGAAGGTGCAACAATGAAATATCTGTCTGAGAATACTGCTATTCCTGTTCCAAAGGTGTATTGTTCTTTTTTGCACAAAAATAGAGCTTACATCGTTATGGAAAGGATCCAAGGCGAGGAACTACCAAAAGCCTGGAAAAGCTTGTCTGACGAATCAATGGAAGATGTCTTCGCGCAGTTGAGAGGGATCCTCCAAGAGCTGCGCTCTCTGAAACCTCCAGGCACAAGTGTGGAGAGCTGTATTGGAGGCTCATTGTACGACTCTCGCATACCTCGTGGAAACCCGCGTTTCGGCCCATTCAAGAACATTCAAGACTTTCATTTTTGGCTCCGACGAGACTTGAAACCTGAAGACCTTAAAGATCGGGAGAAGGACCAGGATTGGCATGACCTCCAGGAGATGATTAGCCAACAAGATGGACCTTGGCCACTGCCAAAGTTTACCCATGGCGATCTGAATCCGTTCAATATCCTTGTACGCGAGGGCAAGGTGGTTGGAGTTATCGATTGGGAGTTTTCTGGATGGTATCCACACTATTGGGAATACACCTCGGCCTGGTTTGGTAACGTCACCAGGACGGATTGGCAGGGCATGCTTGTTAAAATCCTCGATCGACCACGCGCTGAAGAGCTCAAGATGGAGGAAGTGCGCAATAAATGGTGGGGTGAATAAATGATTGTTGACTGGTGCTTAATGCACATGCATCCGTGGGATGTTCAATCTACTCGCAATGCTAAGGCTAAGAAAAAAAGACTACAAAGGGGCACGCTACAGGTTTAACAATTCTTCGTGTACAATCTTTCGCGATCAGAAGCGTCTAGGGTACGCTTTCCCTGTTCTCAAGCATATCCCAGGTCGGCTTCGGTTTCAGCAAATCCGCAGCGGACTGATAACGACCACTAGCAGTCTTTTCTCGCACATACTGTCTTGCGAACGCCTCTATCTTCTCCCAATTCAGCTCGGCAGTGCCAACACACCCCCCATCTTTTGCGATCTCAGCCAGGCCACTAGCGATCCAAGTACGGCATCTCCAGTTTGTGTCGCCCTGGGTGACTGGAAGTCCGCGAAATAGGCTAATCAGCCGCTGCTCGTCTTCGATCTTCGCAATGAGAATACGCGCTAAGAGGCTGTTTGTGGTTCGGACATTCTCCAATGGAATTTCTTCGTAAACCCACCCCAGAGGGGAGTTTTTGACATGGTAACGTGTTCCTGGGACCACGTCTTTGCGCTCTGCTTTGGGTCCAATCAAGAAGCCCCAGTGGTATCTAAAGTAGTCAAGATATGTTATGAGGGTTCAGACGGTCATCTAGCTCACTTGCGTTCCTCGTTATTTACAACACCACTGGGATACAGAGCAATATATAATCGGCTCTTGTTGGAGGGCATCTTTGTTGTCACGCAGACTAGAAAATGGCTGAACAGGCGATGCGATCGCTTGTGCAACAAGAATATTAGACAAGATGCAATAATGGCACAAAATGAACTGCAAAAACAATCACTCGGCCTGTCTTTATAATTCCTACAGTTTAGACGAGATAAGAATAGCAGGTGATAGCCGCGCGCTCTGGTTGTAATGTTTTAGGCAATGTTTCGCACATCGAATCTGATTGGCCTAGGAACATCGAACTTCGGAAGAGAATCATACTGCTCAACTGCCTCGCGGAAGAGTCAGGGCGACAAGGTCATGGTTTCGCAAGATCCCGCCATGCCTTTCATCCATCCGTTCGAATAACCTGAACAAGGTGGAGATGCCTACGATTGCGGAGTGTGTTTAAGGATATGGAATTTACTTGGTATGTAGAGAGTCAAATATGCAGACAAAGATCGGGTACATGTACAAGACAATAGAACCGCAAAGCGGCTGATTACGCTGAAGTGATGGTTTTGTGGTCCCTCCGCGCCAGTTTATTGCATTACGTTTAAAACGTGCGCTTTGGCAACTATGAGCAAGTACATTTTCATGTAATGTATAAGTACAACGCGAGGAATATAATAACTCAACACTTTGGTGAACACTTCCAGATGTTCTGTCAAGCATGCTACTGCCTGTCATCGACTACCATCAATGAGCCTCGCCACAAAAGACAAGAGTGCAAAGTTCGGAAAAAAATCCGAATTAGGGCCGGTTTACAGTAGCTCGTCACATTGATGCGCCACACTTCGGACCCGTTTGCCGCATCCGCATTGGCTTGAAGCAGTTCAATACTTCCTAGAGTCGGAGGCTTAAGATCGCCCCCGTTGCGCTGCGACAACATCCAGATCGCGACAATGTACGTGTTCTACGCAGTGGTCGTTAGGCAGTGCGGAGTTTGGCGCTGTGGCCGACCAGCCGGGCGGCAAACCTCAACGAAAGCGAGCGTTCATCAACAATCTTTGGACCACAAGTCCCTTATAACCATCAAACCATGTGACACTGAACTGCCTCCCATGTTGCTGCGCCTTGAGTGATGGACGTACAACATCTAATCATCCTCAAATGTCTTCCATGACCAAAAGCTTTGTCGTTTCAGCAATGTGCGCTCGAGACTCCTCTCTAGCCGGTTGAGGCGTAATTCGAGTTGACCCACTCCAGAACGCGTCACCGCTGAAAACTGGTACGGATCGAGCCTTGTTCTAGACTAGCCAGATGCGCACTCATGATGGCTACTCTATAACGCAGGACTCAGTACCAAAATGTAGTATATGTATCAATGAAATTGCAAAGCTTTCATCAATCATCCGGTATGGTGTATCGGCTAGCATCGTTCGCTTTCATAACCATGTGTTGGAGAGCTCCGAACAGAGCCGGGTTCGATTCCCGGTACCGGAAGACATCTTTTTGCAGTTCTGCATGTGCTGGGAGTGTTGTGGGAGTGTTGGGGGACTGGGGCGGGTGCAGGGAGATTTTGGGCGACCCCCGCTATTTTTGCGCACCAAGAGTGATCAGGGGTCGTACGAATTTCATAATCAGAAGACAGACATCATCAATCTTACTTGCGCGCAATAGTTTGCGTATAACAATGTCCTTGCAAGTAACATTGTGCACTGTCATCTGAACTCAATACGTGACTCTGGCGCATACTCCGAGCGACCGAATGGCCCAACTTGTTCAGACTCTCGATACTATGCGATGCAATGGTTACTGCAAGAGTCTGGAGGGACTTACAAGGCCGGTTGCCACAAACTTTGGTTTTTAGATGACCATCGACGGACTTTGCGTATTTTGCACTGAGGTTTGGATTAGGTAGGCACGCCACGTGACCGCGTGCATCCCACGCGACGCGGGCGGATGATGATGGACACAACATGACCCAGCCCCACCACCATTATTGGAAATTTCCACTCTGATGGCGGCAACAGCGAAGGTACATACACCGAGAAGGACTTCCCAGGACTCGTCAGAGCTGAATGGCCATGGACCGCCATCTGCAGCCCTCGAAGCAATCGGCGCACGACCGCGGCGCGCACAACGGCGGCCGACCAAACAAGCTTCATACGAGCTCTGCAACCACGCCAAAGCGTACCTAGAAGGCCGACAATGTATGTGATAACGTGCTGTCGTCCTGCATATGCTTACCGCAAGATAGACGCCAGTGGATATGACTTCCTCTATAACCTCCTTGCTGCTGGCACATCGATATCAACGCCTGCGCAACCCTATATTGGCTTCACCGCGCCGCCAGCATACTTCGCATTCGCCTCCTCCCTCATCGCCTATCCTCCAATCACAACCAAGTCACGAAACAAAGATGCGCGAAAAGGTGCCGAGGCCGCGTTGCGATACCTCCAATGCATACACACTACCATCGACGGGGCAGCGTACCCAATAATCAGACAAGCCTTCAGCTTTCCAGCGCAGCATTCACGGCGGCGCGCACGTGGGCATCGTAATGCGACAGCCAGTCCGTCGCCGGGTGGCGATGATATTGAGCTCATCGCTGGGGACGCAGCCAATGCCGAGAGCATATGGACAAGAGCTGAAGACTTCTGGCAGCTTGTAGGATGGGCCTTCAACTGCTCGGTAGCACAAAAGCAGCGGTGGAAAAGATGGAAGCTCTGGCTCGGGATTATGCTGGACTTCCTGGAAGCAGATTGGGAATTTTGTGCAAGAAGAAGCAAAGACGCGACGAGTGTGGAGGCAGTATTGCAAGAGAGTCTCCTCTGGCAATATATCAAAAGCGATGCTGGATCTGTGAACCGTGGTGTGCGGCGAAGAATTGTCAGAGCCATCTTGGCAGCAGCGTCAACGGAATCGCTGAAGGACTATCCCGAGATATGGACGAAGGAAACCGAAAAGCCAAATCTCAAGAGTAAGGATTTAGGACATGCCAGAGAAGTCGATTTCGAGACTGGTGATATGGCAGACTACCAAAGCGATCAGGACATGGCTGATGCATCAAACGATGTGAGCGACGAAGAGCTGAGCGACGAACATGACGCCGGTTTTTCTTACGGTGGCAAAAGGGACCTGCACAACTCTGTTGAGGAAATGGGTGGAGCCCAAGCTATTGAACTCCGACAACGCTTCATTGCTTTGGTATGTATATAAACGCATAGCCCTAATACTCACTAACGACGATCAGCTCGCAAAAGTATCCATCGCTCTTCCAACAGAATTCACTACCCTGAGCGACCTTTTTGACAACATCTTGGAAGACTTCATACGCTTACCTATCGCGCTCTTCCAAGTTCTGTTATCTACGTCGAAGCTGACGGGGCAAACTCACATAGCATATTGCACCAATCTAGTCCTACCTCTCGTCAGCGGAAGAATACCCGACTTCTTTCGCTACGAGCCTACGCAAGAAGATCTTGAGTCAGCCTTGCTCCCACTCAAAGGCACAACCCAGGGTTTCGCAGCAAATGCCAAAATCTCACTTCTACTCGAGCAAATATTCATGTACATGATGAGCCATGATGCACTAGAAGCTACCAAAGCACTCCGCACTGCCATGGAGGCCGGGATACAAGCTCGGCACAGTGTCTACGGTACTGGTAAAGGGAAGAGGGGCAATGCGGAAGAAGAAGCTGCTGGTAAGGCGCAGCTAGAGGCTTGCTCAGAGCGGCTGCTGGGCATGCTTGAGATTCTGGAGATGAAAGGCGGGAAGTCACCGCAGCCTTTGGAGGCGAAATATGCAGTCGATCAAGCCTTCCCATCCTTTGGCACCGGATCATCCCTGTCTCCGCCACCTAGCAGTGAGACTGATGAGGATGAATAGTATTCAACAACGGGTTGACTTTAGCGACTTTGCAGCGCGACTCTTTCCCTCAGTGTTGACCTTTCCCGAATCTCTGTACGCGTTCCGAACAATTCCGTCCCATCTCACTCCAACTTTCTGAAAAACGAGACGCCATGTGGTGAACGCTTCGTGCAGCGGCTGGAAAATTCCTATTCACGTGTCGGCGCCAAACAAAGTACCGTGGCAAATGGCCTACGAGGAGTCGGCGCTAGACGGATACCTGTGCGAAAAAGAGGACAAGATTAGGCAGGTTGAGGCGAAGGCGTCATTGAGAAGGACTGAGGGTGTGCTGAACATGTTGTGGTGGCTTTGTATGAGGAACAGGGAATTGGCGGTGCGTCAGGACGCAGGCTGGGAAGGGATGGAACATACGTTGGGTTGGAAAGGGAAGGATGGGCTCGAGCTGAAGCTGGAGCAATATGTGTCCTCTCGCCCATCTTTCGTGAAGCGGGAACACTTGAAACACGATCGCACATGGCAAATTGGGTGCAGCAGTGCGGCTGACGCGAAGTTGCTGACCGTCTCGCCATTGTACACCTTTGTAGGTGTCACAAACACCAACGTGCTTTTTCTGCTCGCGGGCTTCGACTCGAGTTGCTCTCAAGCCTTTCCCAATTTCGCTTCAATTGCACCGCGCGCGCAACTCGCGGGAGAGTTCAACAAGTGTCATGTCTTTGCGACCTCCCAAAGAAAGAGAAGCAGGCAGGAGGACATCATCAGATTAGCTCGACTACGACACCGCAGGCCAGGATGGAGTGTCTTGACGTAAAACATGAGAAAAGCAAGAATGGAGACTATTCCCCAAAATTCCTTGACCACTCCTACTGCTGTATGTGAGACAAGGAATATATCGTAAGAACCCCTATTTTCAGGTCAGTGCTCAGCCCTTCGGTATCCGTCATTCTCGCACATCAATCTTACAAATGTAGAATAATAGCGCGGAAATGCCCCGGTCTGAACGCCCCATTTTCCCCGCATGGCGCTAACACATTAGCGTAATCCGGTACTTCGCTGCACCAGTCGTCCTCGGCCAAAAACAAGAGACCATCACCTATGCAGTATGAATCCAAAGTCGTGGCGTAGAACGGGCACAGGAATTGCGCCGAAAAGCTTGTCTGCGGGCCAAAACCCGGCCTATGGAGGTGCCGCGGACAGCAACCGCTTTGGTCGACAATGAACGATCCTGGTACTTTATCCAAACGATCTATACCCGCAACATGGATGACGCCCGCCTACGCTCGTTCCAGCAGAGCGAAAGATAGCCGCCTCCGTGTCTGACTGGATGAAACAGCCACTCACATGCCGTGTTCCCGTAAGCACAATCAAGCGTACAACATTGTCAATGAACGTTAGATCGGCGCACATGCCACGCGAGAACCTGGCAATCGGGATGGTGCTACAGTCTTAAGAGCATCTTTGCCCTGCCGCGGCGGAGTCCGTACCGTGCCTCTTTGTTCGAATTGTTGCGATCACAAGTCGCGCCATTGTCGGTCCTTCATCACCTTCTGACGACGCACTACGTCGTGGTCGAGCGGCATATTCAAGCCGACTTCTGGGCCCCAAGCCACAGCCGCGTAGTGAGCAGCTGCTTACTTCAGAAAAGACGCAGACACTGTAAGCTCGGTAGTTTAAAGGTTACTCCCTCGCTAGGTCTGACTTCTTACGAGCATAAGTAGAGGTCCGCACCTCTACGATCTGCGTCGGACATCTTCACCAGTACTGCGTATCTGCTGTTCGAAGATTCATCATGAAGGCAGCAAATTACGCCGACGATGTACGAAGCCCATTGTCTGTTGTCGCTTCATACACTGACTTCATCTAGGAGCGTCAGCAAATCGAGAATGAATTGCACACCGAGATCCTCCCAGGAACGGAGATCATGGCTGATGTCGGGTCACATCACTTCGTCAAGGGCGCGCATCGCGAGGTGCTCGTCCCACAGCCTAGTGATGACCCCGATGACCCATTGAACTGGAGCAACTCGTGGAAAATTACATGCATCACTTCTGCCGCCATGGTGACCTTCACTCAAGGGTTTGGACCGCTGGCTCTCGCGCCTATGTTTCCTGCATACATCCACGACTTCAACACTGATCTGGCTGGTGCTGTGCAATTTACTGGTGTCTGTATCTTGGTTCTAGGATTCAGCAACTTCATCTGGTCAGTATATCGATGATAACGCATGAGCTGTGACTGACAACCATCAGGGTACCCATCAGTTCGTCTTTCGGCCGTCGCCCTGTATACCTCCTCTCGCAGCTCATCAACTTCGGTTCTTCCATCTGGCGCGCCAAGGCAAACAGTTATGGCTCTTTTATGGGAGCCTGCGTCGTGAATGGCATCGGTGCTGGGCCTGCCGAGACCATTATGCCCGAGATCATTGCCGACATCTTCTTCCTCCATGACCGTGGCAAATGGAACACGCTTTATTGGGTTGTGTACATGGGCTCGCTGATGGTTGGACCGATCATATCTGGTGCCATGACTGAGACCGTGGGCTGGCGCAGCTTTTGGTGGTTCAACACTGCCTTGTTGGGTCTCTCTTTCCTCATGGTTGTTTTCATGTTCCCAGAGACGAAGTATCAGCGTC